ATCGAGAAGAAAACAGATTTATTTTCTATAATGGTAGACAGATTTATTTCTGATTTCTTTTCTTGATATCTTTACTGACCACTCCAGGGACGACATCTGGACAAAAATTGCCGGTCACCTTAATGTAATGACATCTCTATGACAATCATGAAATAAGACATTCACTTTGACACCTTTGGCATCAAGATCACATAACTTTGACGTTATCTGATTATGAATGTGATAGTAATGGATGAATTGAATTCAAATCCATCTAGAAATGATTTTTAAACCTTCAAATGATTTTTCGATGGAAATCAGAATAACGATCAATCTGAATTAATTTTTTTATTGATGAAGCAGAAGATTCTTATTCTCCTGGAACACATGGTCTATCTATCTCTCTGTGTAAATCATTCAATTGTTCCTATTTTGCCCTAGTTTACCGACTTTGAGTTTGGATTACGATTATAATGACATGTTTGTATTTTCTTGTGACTTATTTCAATATTTTTTATCACCTGGAAAATCAGATCATTTCAAAATTTCATAATAATTTAAAACTCATATAGAACCTATTACGAGACAAATATTATCTAGACAAGAATATAACGATGCACGCTTAATGTTAACTTGCCCTTCTTTTATTGAAGATTTCCATGCCAAGAACAATTATGTCAAATTCTCAGAAGATGTAACAATATCAAATACTGGTATACTTCATGAGATTTATTTGTCTAGCATAAAGGCTCACTTCTAGTACTGAGTACTCAAACTGTACTAAACCAGAAGACAAAACATCTTCAGCATTGTGAGTTTGAGAAGAGATTTTATAGGTCTCTTGCATTTCAATATGACCTTTCTCTCCATGAGAACGAGTTTCTCTGGAGACCCTTCATCAGAAATAATTGAAAGTTCAGGATGTAAGCAAGGGTAGGGGCTACATGTATGTTTACGCTTTAGTGACCACTTGAGACCAGTCCCTTGCTGATCTGCCGATTCTACAATGGGAGATTTTAGTACATTGCACTATTGTTCTCTCATCAACTGTCGATACCTCTCAGTGTTTTCATCATTACGCAAAATCTCTGGTCGTTTGCAATCTGAATTACAATACCAGCTACAACAGTTGTGAGACAATTGGAGTGGCTTACTGGTATTATTGCTCGGGAATATTTCTTGCCGGTAATATTTTTGCCATTTTTCACCATGTTTCACCATAACCATATTACTTTATCTTTAGGCAAGCAAACACAGAATTCACAACAAAGCTGTTTTATTTTATTTTTATTTTTATAAAATACTTTCTTGAAATGAAATTACTGAGATATTATTAAATTCATTATTCAATAAGCAGACAAATGTTACGCTCTCTAGAGGCATGGTGACAAAATTGACAATAAATGAAATCCTAAATTAATGATATAATGCAAGCAAGGTTTTTTTTTAATTTAATGGAATTTGGTAGAAACATTTAACAAATCACATACCGAAATTTTCTATCGAATAAAAAAAGAAAAAAAATTTCCTTTAATCAGAATGTGAAGAATACACATTATTGTATACTGATATTTAATTGCCATTAGAATTTGTTGGTTTGTTTTTAAGTGTCATGCAGCATTGTTTGAGAAATTGACACAATAACTCCAGATATATTTGAAGTTACGTCATTTCCCAAGGGTGTTTTGAAGAACATTTGATTTATGAACAAAACATAAAGATTTTCTTTATAAGAAATCAAATGAAGCCGACGAAACCAAAGAAAAAAAAAAAAATTGACGAAGCAAACGCTTAAGCCTTCTCACATATGTACAAATTACAATTCCATCTGCAATAACTCTACAAAGACGTCTGTGTTATAAGACCACATGCAAACTTTTTTCAATATATCCATCTTGCCTGCAGTTAAAGTTTCACAGAATGATTAATGAAAACTTGGTGCCATTTCCACCCACATATTACTGATTTTCGACCTGTATGCACCATGTGTGAAGTTAAACCAATGATCAGCTCTGCCTTGGGATAAGCTTCGCCAGATTAGGAGAATGACCACTGCACCGTAAAGGCGCTGAAGGCAATCAGTGTCCAGAGGATGTGAAACAGCAAGGTCAAATGGTCACTTGATATATCTGTAGATCTTCAAAACTCTTGCTAACAACCTATATATCAGTGCTCAAATTCTTCTACAGACCTGTTCCTATCTGGTTAGTGAGGAAACAGGAGATTGTAAGATTAGACATATTTTTGACACATTTTTGACAGTTAAAATGAGCTCCCTAAAGGGCAACAATCTTCATAATACCAGGGTGTTGTCTACTAGGCAAAAAGCCATCTGCCATGTGACTGGTAATGCGTTAGGCAGAGCCTGACCATTACAGGTGGACTACCAGAGACAGGGTAATTGACCAGTGTATTTCAAAACCCTATCACCATTACACAGCCAGAGACAAAGAAAAGGGTCCTATCATTAATGGCATCTTAACTTTTTTACATAGATAATATTCAACAGACAGGCGGAGACCTATCCATATTCTAATAGCATCAACGCTGATCTGATAGGATTCTAGAATTAATAGCTTTATAAACACTGTGTCAATATTCAAAACAGCAAGACTCACTGGAAAAGTGACCAAGCCCTGATAGCATCTGACTTTTGCAGAACGATAAGAATTAAACCAATAAGCTGAATCGTATTAGGATTGTGGCACCACCAACTCCAAAAACAAACAACATCTGATCTAGTTTTTTTTTTACATAAATGTGATAAAATTAAAAAGTTACAGATAAGTTCTATGTGATCTTTAAATTAGGGGTTAATTCCGATTTTTAACCCACATTACGCGTCATTAATTCAACAGCGATAAGAGGGATATAATGTAGATTTAGGAAGTCAGTGTATCATGACTGTCGCAAGTAGCCATCAAAGGCAGACTCCTCTGCTAGCCAATGAGAGGTCGAGGTACTGCTGAGTCCTCCAACTCCGCGCGAACTATCTCTTGTTTGCCTACATGGGGTTAACACTGCAGGATATTGACCAGAAAACACTGATTATCAGCACTTTATTTTGCTCAATATCTTTGCACTATCCAGCCCCTGAGTCTGTCAAAACACAAGTTAGCCTGTTTAAAACTTCAGGTATTAACAGCTGTTTTGTTTTCTAAAACAACCCTAAAGTACACTTATCTTTTGATATAGATGTGATATGAATGCAAGCAAACTATTGTTCATATTTTGAATTAAAAAGTTCAGATACTTTCCTGATATTTTATTGTAAACTGCTTGGGCAGATTTTTTAATAGTTTGTATGGAGAATTTACAAAACATACAAATGCATTTTGTGCATGTTCAAGGCAATCACTCCAAGTCCAGGAATAAGTCCACTCACATTTAATGCAGTTTCAGTAAAAATGCTAAATAATATATTTATACAAGTATATATACATCAGTTTCCTGTATATATATATCTATATGAACTAATAAAAAGTTGCCATATTTTCCTCAAGGATACACTTACATGGCTGTAAAAACTATATTCATGACAACAAATCCTAGGAAAAACAATAATTCCTTACATTGGATAAAATTATAGATCTGTTTACTCAGGAATTAAGCACAATTTTCAGGAACAGCAAGTTTGATTTCATTATTTCTACGTTAATACTTGCAAACAAGAGTCGTTTATAAAAATTATGGAGATAATAGCACACTATTGGCGTGTCATTTTGCCCCAAAATGTCATTACTGTAGCAACTACCAAAACAAATGTGTCTGTTTCAGGACCCTGTTTGTGTTAGAGTCCCTGATGTATTGATAGGCTTTCCTAAAGTGCATGCTGTTTGACACTTTAGCTGTTCTCAAGAAATATATTTAAATTGTTGAATGATCAGATATTTTGTCATTTATTTTCATGTTTAAGTGTCAATATCAAAGTGCTTTCATGGCAACAAAAAAAACCCCATCTTCCTCATTATTTCACCCTACTAATTGTAAATCTTGAATTGAAAATACAGGATAAAAAATAAATCATGTTGAATTCAACTTTGATTAATAAAATTGCAACAAATTACCAACAGTGAACCGATACGATGGCATTCTACATTTTTTCAAGATATTTATATTGAAAGATGAAAAAAACTTATCATAGGTAATTAACTCCTAATTTCAATACCACTATGCAAAATTCACCTCGCGTTGTACATTCAACACCAGAAAAATAAATTCTCTTTTATCAAATTCCATTGAGAGTCTAAGGGTCATTAGGTCAAAGAGGGGATGGATAGAATTTTTGATGTTTTCCATGAATAAATAATTATATGATGGATTGAACAAAGTAAAGATCTGACTTCTTATGCTCTCCCAAAGGTATAAATTGGAACAAATATTGTACAGTAAATTCCCTTAATATTTGATAACAAAATATCATATTACCAATCAAGATATACCATCATTGTTAACTTAATTACTAATTAATCAATTATAATACTTTGATTTAAACATAATTGAAAGAAATGATATTTTCTACTTTGAAATTATCTTATATTAAAATGACAGCATTATTTTTTTTAAAGAGGTTGGCTGCAGATTCAATGCAAAACCTTGGAACATTTACTACACGAAATTGGTCAGTCATGGAAAATTTTACTTGCCTTGCCTAGTCAAATGATATTTCCAGAAAAAGCTGTTCTCTTAGACAGAACTGATAAAAACATGATGGAAAAGTTGATCTTGATAACATTGTTTTTTTCTTTTTATACAAAATTCTGTAGACTATATCTTAAATGAGATTTTCCAAGGTAGTCTTTGCTGTAAGAAGAACACTATAAAAAGTTTTGATGGATTATAGTTGAAACTGTAAATAGATAATCACACAAATTTCTTCAAAGGCTTTTCTCAGTGAAGTTGATTGATAAGTATAAAAACTGTCAATAGAAACTGCTTACAAAAGTTGAATGGCATTCTTTAATGGATGTATGATGGATTAAAATATACTTTTCAAAATGAAAATAGAAAATTACACTTACTTCGAAAGGCTTTTCCAATCCCAGGTTGTTGTTTTTTGCAGAGAGTTGATTTGGGTCTGCTATTTGAAGCATATCTTCATCATCAAGGGAAAAACTCACTTCCTTTTTTTTCTTTTTCTCCCCCAGGGTGGAATCATCACCGGGGAGAGAAAAAACACTGACACCGCCCTCCAATGATGTTGCCTGCTTATATATCTCCTTTTCTTTGTCTTTCCTTTCACGATCATTTCGTCGTAAGACACAAATTATTATAATAATGGCGGCTGAACAAATGGCTGTGACAGCCAATAAAATAATGACAATGATGACATTTCGTTGTATGGTGTCTGTAAAATAAGTAGGGGAGGTAATTTTTATAAATAACATCCGTGTTGACGTGAGTCGTGGTTTCCCCTGATCTGAAGCCATGATATCCAATACTATGGTTTCTCCAGCTTTCTGTGAAATTTTCCTTTTCAAAATCAGTGATCCTGTTTTTTCATTTAATTCAAACAAGTCTGAATCATTTCGTTGTGTAATAAAGTATCTGATTAATCCATTCTCTTTCTCATCCAAGTCAAATGCTCTAATGATTGTGATTCTTGTTCCTATCTCAGTGTTCAAGGAAAGAGATATGCTGTTATTAGTAGTACTAGGAGCTGTGATAACTGGCACATTATCATTTTCATCCCTAACCATAACTTTCACACGTGCTGAGCTGTTTTTTGATGGTCGTCCCAGATCTTCAGCTTGGACAATGAAGTCATAAACACTCTGTTCTTCCCGATCAAGTTCTTGATCACTTTTTATTTGTCCATTAGGAAAAAGGAAAAATGGAATCTTCTGATTTTGGCCTGATACAATGGAGTAAGCAATTTTAGAGTTGTCTCCCTCATCACGATCTGTCGCAACGATTTGAGCCACATTTGTTCCAGCATGTTTGTTTTCGGAGATTTCAAACACAAAAACTGGTTTACTGAACATAGGTGCTTCATCGTTAACATCTTTGATGGTCAAGGTCACAGTGGCGGTACCAGTCTTGGCAGGTATGCCTTGGTCGATGGCAAGTACCTCAAATTCGATAGTGGGAGTAGTTTCGCGATCAAATGACATATTAGCCCTAATAATCCCTGACAAGGCTTCAACATTGACAAAATGGTTGTCAGGATGACTGTAGTACAGCACCATGGCATTGTGGCCGATATCACCATCTGAAGCATGTACTTGAACCAGCACTTCTCCGAAATTATTATTTTCGAAAACTTCCTCATGGTAGGACAGCGGTGAAAATACAGGAGTTGAGTCATTCACATCATCAACTATCACAATGAAACTGTCACTGTCGTTCAAAGGCGGAGTACCATTGTCTTGACATGTGACCTTGACCTCATGTTGTTCTCGTATTTCTCTGTCAAGACTCTCACTGACAACAATTTTGAACTCTTTAGCATCAAGTCTCTGTAAAGCAAAGGCATCTGCTTCAGCCCAACAGTCAATCTCACCATTTCGTCCCGAGTTTGGGTCCTCCACTGCGATATGAGCAACAACAGCTCCAAGGTCAGCAAATTCAGAGATCTTTGCAATGTCAAGGCCGCTAAGGAGATTAGTTGTAATGACTGGACGACTGTTTCCAACATCAATGACTGATACATGGACAAACGTTTGAGAAGTCAGGGGTTGGTCACCTCTATCGCTTGCTTCTACAATGATTTTGTACACTTGACCAGGTACATATTGGATGGGTTTGATCACAGAGAGCTCACCGGTCCGATTGTTGATACTGAAATGTTGTAGATTGGTCACTTCCTGGTGCGGACTTAGCCTGTAGATTATCTCCCCATTTCGACCCTGATCCTTGTCTGATGCTGAAACTACCATTATCACTGTGGAAACATTAATGTCTTCACGCACAGTGATGTTGTAGGAGGAGCTACCAAAAGCTGGTGAATTGTCATTTATGTCAGAGATGGAGATATTTGCTTGGAGAGTTCCTGATTTGGGAGGGGAACCACCATCTTTGGCAATGACAGTTATTTGATAAAAATCCTGTACTTCTCTGTTTAGAGGTTCCTTCACCATCAGTTGGACAATAGAGGTACCATCCAAGTTTTTCAAAAATTTGATGGAGAAAGGCGAAGTACTCGGTGTGACATTGTAGGAATGGAGAGAATATTGCTCACTTGTATCGCGGTCTCTGGCCCCATCAATTGTGATAGATGTTCCCACTAACACAGCCTCAGAAATGGTCAAACTTATTGAAGGCTTGTCAAAAATAGGTGCGTTGTCATTAATATCTTCAATAAAAATGGTCACCTTTATTTTTTTGAAGAAGCTTCTCATGGTGGACTGAGCTGCTACATCAAGAGATACAACACATAGGGGAGAGAACTCACATATTGTTTCTCTATCTAACGCTCCAACAGTGTATAAAAAACTAGAATGTTCGTCTATAGAGAAAAGAGAAGCATACTCACTACCCGTTGTGAGGAAACTGTATCGTAAGTTATGGAATTCCGCATCATCTACAACCTCCTGGAGTCGAGCATCCGATGCTACGTTGCCAATGAAACGGTCGGTTTGATCACCTTCTGGAAGATAATACTCAACACCCTGGCCCAAAACCACAGCAGACGAATACCACAATGTCATAAAAACCATCACAACAAGCTCCGAAACACAAATAGATTCCATGATTATAAAACAAAAAGAAATTTTGACGTTAGAATTTACATCACCCAACACTGATCGTGTCAGATGACATGCGCAAAATGACCGTTGTTAGATGACCAGTGTCCAGTGAGATAACCACCTGTGTCCAGTAGTGACTGTTATAATCACATTCCCCGACAGGTATGAATCAGGGCCTCTTGTTTTAAACACTTCCTATACCATCCCTAGTTCAGCTGTATCTGTGCCTAGGATCTCTTTTTCATTAGCTGACAAAATCCATATCACTGTGCCTGCAGGGGTTTGACTCTTTTAAATATCTGTTTCCACCTCACTGGTCAGTCAATGCTAGCTATCATACAGCTATCTGGTCACTCCACAGTTGAATTCCTGTAATGTAATGTAAGATAAATATTGACCATTAAGTATATAAACAAACCCTATTACACCTGTCAGCAAATGTCAGCAGCAGCATGTTCTGTTTGTACAATAAAATACACACTGCTTTCGCTTTTGCACTTCAGAGCTCTCTTTGATATCAAAACACTGCACGCTGTCTTTTCAAAAAGTTCCTATACTCCACATGAACCTAGCAAGTGAAATACTCCCAGATCATTAAATTCAATTTTCTCTTCACATATTTGTAATAAGTGACAATACTGGTCCCAGGGTCCTGTATGGTTGGAGTGTGTGTCTCTCCATTGAAAAGTTCTCTAGCTGTAATTACCTGAACCCATGTGCCTGTATTTACCGACACAAGGCCGTGATGATAGCTGTGATACCTCCCCCTTGGTCTAACAGCCAATGGAAGGGCCCCGATAGCCACACAGTTGGAGTTTAACATAGAGATAGGGCCCTAGTATAGCATAATGAACATAGGCCTGCCATGTGCTAAGTATTTTATCCTCATTAAAGTCAAAGAGAAGCCAAGCTGTGTGGGTTATATTTCCAATCTGTGATTCCAAGCATAACAAAACTGATCAGAACTGAGGTTTACCTATCTTCAGAAGCTAAAAGATGGTTTATGTTAAACCAGAGAAAAAAATTTAATTCACCTGCTGAAATAATGAAAAGCATGCATACTTTGAATTCATAACAGTGAAAGTGTGTATATAATACCTAGTTCAGATGACTCTTAGCACATAGCAATATCTCTTCACTAGGCTCAAAATGATTATCTAACATCCACAACACAGCAGCAAGCTTGGGTTTTAGTTCTATTTAAAGCTCATAGTGTCTATAGCTGAAATGAACATCATTCTAAAAATGTAAAACTCTTGTTTCGGAACAATCTGTTTCCATATCTGCTATTTAATTTTGATTTGCTGTATAATGCATCAATTTCCTCATCTCAATTTCTGTAATTAGGCACAATTTCCACCAAACATCATATTGGATATTGTTTTTTATGTACATTGATGGATCAGTCTCTGCTAGATATATACCAAGGCCCTCAGCTAATTTGGCACCAGACCAGTTTTTACAATGTTTTAAATGATTGTTACCACCATTTTTATCTTTATAATGATATGTATTATCTGTTGTTTCAGAGGGCAAACTAATTTGTTTTTCTTTTTATACAACTTTAAATCAAAATCACGTGATTTTCAAAGACTTAACTTTCTTTTATTTAATAAAAACAAATCGAAAAAAAGACTTGTAATAAGTCAACAAACTGTTTTCCTTTATCTGCAGTGTTGTTTAAAGGCCACAGTTTTTTGTTTATTATCAGAGGTTTTATCTCCCAAACTGAATAAAAAGTAGAGTGTGTTGATAGCTTTAGTGTCCGCTTTCCTTCCTGGGTACTAAATTTTCCCCTAGATTCTTCCATTCGAAGTTTTTTCTAATATTTTATCTTCAAATTCCAGTTTTTGTCTTAAAACACATTCCCTCTTTCTTGTATTTGTTTTAACTTGATTCTAACATTTTTCTCCCACTTTCTATCTGTAATCATTCCAACCCTTTTTCTTCTCAAATATATCAAGTTCATGAATGAAAATCTATTGAAGCCTATTTTAACTCATGTTTTAAATATTCAAAATGAAATTTTTAAGAAAAAATTGCATTTTTCAAATTCTTAAAATTTGAGTTTTAATTTATATAATAGAATTTGAAATTTAGTTTTAATTTAACATTTTCTATTATTCTTTATTTTTTTCTGTCTCTATCGCAAATTTATTTCCCTGTGCTCTAAAAGGACTCACTCTAATCTGGTGCTTACATCATTACAAGCTTCACTGCTCTTCCCTTGTAATTACTAGTGTACTACAAAATACTGCCCACAAGCTACACACACTGTCATTTTTCACGGTCCATGAAGAATTTTCACACGATGTGGTCTCCTACATTTTCTGTGGAACACTATATGCTCAGGCAACCACTCAGATACATACAGGAGCCTTTCTTGTCCCTTTCAATACCTTACACAACACTAAGTATCCTACTGTATATTATTGGAAGTCCTCAAAACTCTACTGGGTTAACAAAAAAAAAAAAAAAAAACAGGAAAGATTTTTGATTCCATGTTTAGCAATAATAAAGAAACATTTTCAGATTTTTCTATTTTGTTTTTTAGTCAGACAGACAAATTTAATTAAAATCTATATACACACAAAGATTTATCATCCCTGAAGCATTGTTATATTGATGTTTTGAGAAATGGTAGTCTTGAGTTCTCCATTCCAAGCATTTTAAATCTTGTATTAGCTCTAAGAATAGCAGACAATTTTTCACCTTAGATATATCATCATATTTTATAGAAGATGTAAACCATATACCAACCCACAACAAGTTTCAATATTATCCTCTTAGTAAAAGTGTCCCATAAAAAAATTAAAAACGAGAGTTGTATCTGCATGGTTATATCTCAAGTTGACAATACTTTGAGCATGTGTGCTTGAACTATGATTTTGGTGCAATGTTAAAGAGATATTTGAGTAGAATGGCCCAAGGAACTTGTTTGTGTGGACAAAAGGGTGCTTGTTAGTCTTTTGTTGAAGTTCCACCTGTTACGATTTACACCTGGACAATGAGAAAACTTGAGATCCACATCGGATCCAAAAAGCTTTGTATTCATTTGAAACGTTATTAAAAAGTATCATTTCCATCGAAACACTTTCAACTTACACAAAGAATCCCTTCACATAATGAAAGTAGAAATATTTAACACGCAATAATATGATACCTTAATCTCTTGATTGATCAAAAGAAAAATAAACGTGTTATATATCACGTTTTTAATTTCCTGAATCTGAAATTTATTAATCATACTTGGCAAATTGTACGAAATATATACATGAATGGGTCATTGTAACTTCGTAGCAAAAATCTCCTTCAATTTAATTGTTTATTGGTTTGACTGTGTAGAATATATCACATGACGTAACAGAATTCCTAAATACGAAGGTTGCTAAAGTAATGCCTGAACCCATAAAAAAAAGTACACAAGGTGTCTAGCATACAAGATGATAAAGCACCTGATCGTCATTATCCCAGGTTTCCGGGGTTCAATTACCTGTGTTTAAAAAAAAAATATAACCTCAAAACCCCACTCCACTTACCTCTAATGCACTTCAATCTTTGTTATTTAGAATGAATTTGAATTTAATTTGTTTCATAATAAATGAAATGATATAAGCTAACTTGCTTAGATGAAGCACATATGGCCATATCGTCAATTTTTTCACAAATTTGAAAATGTGCTACAAAATGAAATAAAAAAGCATTTTTATGTATCTTGTTCAGAACCAATAGATTGTGATACATGTAGATTTCATTACAAATTTCAATAGCTAAAAAATACAAACTAGCAAATGTTTATAAAATATCAATATCCTTGTTTCCATGAGCTTTCATGATCTGACTTTGATTCAGAACAGAATCCAACAAGGGGGGTGGGACGTACAGAGTACACACGGCATAGGTAACATTATAGACCCGCCTACTTAGTAAGATGGCAAGGACATCAAAATCATTCATATCATTTGACCGGTAAAGTTAACAGTGCTTTTGAAACAAATGAGTTTAATTAACATTGTTCTCTGACTTCTGAGGCCTGAAGGACTTTTACACTTCATGCTGGCACTTAACAATTATATTCTCATTGTTTCAAAATATCATACTCTCCAAACAACACAAAAAATAGTTAAATCAGTTATGGCACAATGAACCATTGATGTCTGAAATCTGAACATTAATTTTGAAAACTTTTGTCTTTTCCTTTCGGACAAACATAAATATACTTAATGATAGAGGTGGGCATTAATGTCTTCAGGTATTTTTTTTGCTATTTTGTAGAAATCAACAAATATCCTTATTTATTAGTTTATTCTAATTCTATTGCTGGGAGAACATGAAAGTTCTTTATTTTGCATCAACCATTTTGATTTTTATATTCATTTTGTTCCATTATACAGCAGAATTTACATTCGTCTGTCTCCAGTCGTCTGGAAAATGGTGTCTATCTTAAGCTTACTAAAATTTTTATGTTCAAGTTTTATTTCTGATGTAAAAAGGAAGTGAATTTAGGGTAATTCTATTGTAGTATCCTTTAGTTGTGTTTTTGATGCTGGAACAAATTTGTGACCAGTGTTATAAATCAGTCCTTGAATTTTTTTTATTAAAAAATTACACTGTTTGCTATTACTTACTTGATCAACCAATCAATAACAACG